CCCAGCATGGTTGGTAACAATTTATGTACTGACAAGGGATATGCGTTTTGCTTGCCTCATCATGTACGACGACTTAAAATTTTCAAAAAAAAATAATAATAATAATAAAACAATATTTTTATTCGTCGTAGCTATTCATTCATAACAATATTAAAAATAGTTAAGGGACTGTATTTAATTGGAACTTTTAATTTTTTTGATTTAAAAAATTTAAGGGTATTTAATGTAGTTTTTTTATGTTATCTAAAAATATTCATGTATTCAATAGAAACTTTTACATATTTTTTAAAAAAATTAAAAGTTACAATGTATTCAATTAATTTTTTTTAAAAGCCTTTATAAGTTCTGGAGTATTCAAACTGTCAACAACTTCCATAAACTTTTATAATAGTCTCTAGGGTATTGACTTTTAAGCACAAATTAAAAAAAAATCTTAAAATTTGTTACTCATTCATCCCAAGGTTTTTGGTGACTTTCACAAAAGAAAATTTTTAATTATATTTTTTGTTATTTCAATATTTTTCTTTCTTCTTCCCCGCTACTGGTTTTTGCCGTCAACGCACGCTACTAGGAGAGTAAGCAAGCTAGCTTGTCGCCATGATTAAAAATATATTATTATTATTTCTTCTATTAGTTATATTTTTTTCTATTTTCTTTTTTTATTTCCTTTATTGTTTCTTAAAAAAATTTATAATTATAATATTTTTATAACATTTTTTTCATCCATTTTTTATGAAAAATATCAATTTGTAATTTAATTTTATAAATAAAAAAAAGATTGATTTATAATTAAATTTTAAATGCATTGATTGATTGTTTACTTTTTGAGTGGATGACATGATGATATTGAACATTAAATATTTTTTTTCAAAGAATTGAAAATTTATATATGTATATATCTGTATTTTGATTATTGATTTATATTAATTAAAGCGACTTAAATTTTTTTATTCTTTTAAAAATATTTTTTATTGTATGGGAAGGGGAAAGTGATGGTAGGTATCGAACTTCCATCTCCTATGTGAGAACATGTCATTTCTATACTAAATCCATGTGAATTCTATTTTAAATGGAAGTCTTCAAAATTATATGAATTCTATAAAAAAATAAAAAAATGGATATGAATTCCATAAAAATTTATAAAAGTTTTAGAATGAAAGTATATAGAAGTATGTGAAACACTTCCATTAATTCCTTACAAATTCATAAAAATTTACGAATTCCCTAAAAATACTCGATAACTTAGATAATTCTATAAAAGTCTTTAAATACCTAAATTCTAAATTGGATGTTTGGAAAAGTTTTTATTTACATAGCTGAATGGTCTCGACTTTTCCAAACTCTTTAGCTTACTTATGTTTGGCTCATATTTATAAATTGTTTATAATATCTAAACCATATTTTGGTTTTTCAAATACTATCTGCTTATTCATCACATTTTTCTATCTATTTATCACTTAAATTGTTTATAAACACTTTCCAAACATGCTTTACGTATAAGGATAAATTATCACAAGGTCTCCAACTTTTTGTAAGTGTGGAGTTTATATATCTAATTTATCATTTATTGCACTCATAATCTAATTTTTTAAAATTGTGGTACCAAATCTCCAATTAAACCCCTGTTTCGTTCCAATTATTTTCAAAATATATTACTCTTTCTAATTTTCAACTACATATTTTCAATAAAATAGTATTACACACAAGTACAAAAAAATTTCTTATTTTTTAACCACACATTCTCCGTCAAATTAATATTCCAAAATGTACAATAGGCTCTCTCGTGACGTTAAATTAAAGGAATATACTACTTGTACATAATACCGTGTCCATAACGGTGTCCATCCTCTCACATGGAGGGGGACCTAATTTGGATATATTATATTTTATTCGAAATGAGTCTCCGCCCATGTGAGGGGGTAGACACCGTTATGAATACTCTATTATGTACGTGTAGCATCACCCTACATTGAAAGAGTAAATTTTTTCAAAGGGTTTTCCTTTAATCCAAAACAGGGCCTTAATGTTCATGAAACATACCGATCAATTCCACTTCTTGTCTGGATTGACTGATCCATCCGTCCACTGTTACGCAACTGTCCATAATTTTTGGCTATAATTTCAGAGTACACAAAGGATAGATCAACAGAGATAAGAATGGAAGCTTTACTCTGCAGAAAACTGGGCGACCCAACTATACCAGTAGACGACTCAGTAAACTCTCCATTAACTCTCCCAAAGGCTCACCCAATTCCACAACTCAACTCACCGACTGCAGTGAGAGTCCGAGTCAAAGCCACGAGCTTGAATTTCGCCAATTACCTTCAAATCCTGGGCAAGTACCAAGAAAAATCACCCTTACCCTTCATACCCGGATCTGATTACTCGGGCATCGTCGAGTCGGTGGGATCCAATGTCACCAAGTTCAAAATCGGTGACGCCGTTTGCTCATTTGCCGGCCTCGGATCATTCGCCCAATTCATTGTTGCCGATGAAACTGAATTGTATGTTTCTTAATATGTGTTGTATTTCACACTTACTCTATTTGATTAGCTTTCTTGTACTAGCTTGCACAGAAATGGGAAAGACTAAGACATTTGAAAATGTTATTCTTCAAAATAGAGGACAGGAAATACTGTGAAAAGAATAAGGTCAATAATTATGTTAAAGAAGTTATTTACAAATAATTCAAACTCTAATCACTTGTCTGGGTTAAAGTCTGCTGCCAAGTTTATTTTTACATAGATTCCGCTATTAAGTTAATTATAAATTGAAGGCCATAACAACCCTCATTGATGTTAAGTTTAGTTTTTCATTTCCAAAAATTGGTGTGATGAGAAAAAGAATTGATTTTGTAATGAGCTTACATGGATTTTCATTTAATTTGAATTATTTTTGTGGATTGAAGAATTCAAGTACCGGACAGATGTGATATGGTTGCTGTTGGTGCACTTCCAGTTGCATATGGAACATCTCATGTGGCCCTCCTTCATAGAGCACAATTGAGAGCCGGTCAGGTAGCTCAAACCTCCTGTTCTCTTGTCCATGATAATCTTGTTGTTGTTTCATTGTATTCTATCTTCATATGTGAGCATGTGTTTATGTTGCAATTGTATGAAATTATAGGTATTGCTGGTTCTTGGAGCTGCTGGTGGTGTTGGAGTTTCTGCTGTACAAATCGGAAAGATCAGTGGTGCCATTGTTATTGCTGTTGCTAGGTACCTATTTTACTGGATTTGCTAAGTTCATAGACATTATTAGTCCATGAGTAGAAAACGTTTTGTATGTAGAAGATGAATTTGTTTTACCTCTCAATGCTTGGAGCAACATAACTTAGGTTTGGCTGTATTGATTATGGTAGGGGAGAGGAAAAGGTGAAATATTTGAAGTCCATGGGCGTTGATCACGTTGTCGACTCAAGTGCAGAAAATATCATTGACAGTATCAAGGGGTTTCTGAAGGCAAGAAAGCTTAAAGGAGTTGATGTTTTATATGATCCTGTTGGAGGCAAGCTTACAAAAGAAAGCATGAAGTTGTTAAAATGGGGAGCACATATTTTAATTATAGGTTTTGCTAGTGGGGAAATACCAGTTGTCCCAGCAAATATTGCCCTTGTGAAGGTATGCCACTAAATGTTTGCATTTTATGGTGTCAACAATTCTTGCTTTTACCTCGGAAAATAAAATTTTCTATTTTTTTGTCCTTTCCTATATCGATACATTATACAATCGCCATGAATTTTTGTTTTCTTTTGCTTGGTGCTTGTTAGATAAAGAATTAAAGTGTAAGATGTCATTCTTCGGAAATGCTATTGTTGTCGGTGATTTGTGATGTGGACGATAGCTTTTTCTTGCGTCTTGCATTGAGTTTTGAAGCCATAGATAGGTTTACAACTCCTCATATCATCTTTTGAATAAATGAAGCTAGCATATGTAGATACTCGTTTGAAATCTGAGGTCCAAAGACTTCAAGTAACTATCTTTCAACGAGTTAATCAGTCAGTAATCATCTTGAATAAACTGAGCTAGCACTCAGATCACTGGATTTAGATGAGTTATTGTAAGTAACTGCAGTTGCAAATTGACCCCAAGGATTGACCTAGTGATATAGTTTCACATACAACTTAATAAGTACATGCTGATTCGAGTATCATGTGAAGTGATTTAGGGTGGGGAAGGAGAGGCTGTTTGAGAAAAAAAATTAATTCAATCAATAAAGTGGTAAATAAGAATTGATGTTGAGATTTTATAAATGCAATAATGACTTCTTACATGTTACTAGAAAGCTTGTTCCCCTAAAATTGAACAGTATCCAAATCTTCCAGCAAAGCCCTTAATCCACCCTTTTCTATCATCTCTTTAAATTCCAACTTCCAAGGAAGTAGAAATTTTCCTTGCACCAGCACCTCTGTTAATTCTTGTCCATCCCAATGATGGATATTTTCAGAAATCTATCCTGGGTTATGTTAGTGCAGACGTTTTAAGAGGAAAAGAATATTTCGTTCTTTTGACCATGCACTTGTGAGGTCTCATAAATTATCGATATGTTGGAATTTCCCCTCCGAAGTTCTCTTCTGTTTCTCTCAGTGGTAATTTAACTCAGTCAGTAGGTATATATTTCATCATTTTGTGCCTCTGTTTATCTGCTTTATGGATTGGCTTGAATTTGTATAAGCATGTGTTATCTCCTTTTGGCCTGCTCTGTATGTTCGATCTAAGTGTCAGTTTAATTTTGCAGAACTGGACAATTCATGGTCTCTACTGGGGAAGCTATAAATTACATCAACCAGCTGTACTTGAAGATTCATTGAAGGAGCTCCTATCCTGGTTGGCGAGGGGTTTAATTACCATAAACATTTCTCATACTTTCAGCCTCTCAGAGGTAACAAGCAACCTTATCGTCTTTTTCCTGAGTTAAGTTCTTTGCCTATCTAAAAAGAATTCGGATTTTCTAACTGCATTGCTCCTGTCATTTTTTAAGATCAGAAATCTATTTTGATTAAGATAACGAAACATAAATCCTGGCAATATATAAACTGAAAATCCTAAATTTACCTCTTTGGATACTAACCTGATACCTCGTATCATTTTCTCTATTATCAAATTTTGGAAAAGCATGCTGATATTTCGTTATTTCTGTTGAATATTGAAGTAGTCTTGTCATGAATGAGTTGAGGATACAAGTGCTGAACTCTTTATTGGATGACATCAAAAACAATTCTGATACTGGGTACTGATGGACATTTGCAAATTTAGCAAGGAAAATAGTTTGTTGAAAATCATTCCAGTTATAACTTTGAAAAAAGTAAAGAAACCATCAGGTTAAGCAAATATTGGATGCTATATGCAGTGCAAGGCGCTACTCGATTTCTGATTGGATCAATGAAGCTCTCTCAAACCCTTCGTCCTGCTTCCTTGGATTAGTAAATGTTTGAAATCGATTGCATGCTGATATCTACTGTTTGTGGTGACAGGCAAATCTTGCTTTTGCCGCGTTGAAGGATAGAAAAGCAATCGGGAAGGTGGTGATTGCTTTCGATGATCACAAAGCTGAAAGATCAAAGCTTTAATTGCCATACGAGGAACAGAGAAACTTTTCCCAAATATTCAACAGTTCTATATATCCAAAGGTGTTGTTCTCAATAATACAAATTTAGTTGTAGTTACTACTATGGTTCTTGTTTGGTCCCTTCTCATTTTCCAGTTTAACGTATCATCGATACTAATCCCCCGTTTGGTCTCCATTATAATTTAATACAATTTTTCTCCCTTCATTTTAACCACAGATTCTCCAATAGAATAATATTACACGTAAATTTAAAACTTTTCATTCTTTTTTAGAAGTCATGAAGGAATTTAAAAAGTACTTTTATAAAATTCTTTATATAGGAACTTTTAAACGGAAAGTGCAAATACAAAATTGCATAAAAAAATCTCTTATTCACTTCTAAGATTTTAAAGTACTTTTACAAAAAAACAGTATCTTTCCATTTGTGATATTTTTTTCTCTCATTTTTTGAATCTTCGAGCTATGATATAAACATATTAATATTTTTCTCTTTTCAACATGTTAATACTCTCATTTCTTTTTTCTCTCTTCTTTTTCATAATTTTCTTATTTTTATATGAAAAAAATCAATTTGGAAATAAAAATACTTATTAAGATCTTTTACTCTTCTTTTCTATGATATCTTCCAATGTTTTCTAGATTAAAGATAAAATTTTAATCAAAATAAATCAATTTGCAATTAAATTTTTATAAGGAAATTTGTAGCGGAGGTCTCAAGTCTTTCAAAATAGTGTAGACACCCAAACTTTGAATTGCAGCAACAGCCCCAAATCTTTTTGAAAATCGTGCAACCTAAGAACCTTTGGACGATTTTCATCCAAAAGTCTTTTAATTGATAAAAATTGTGTTTGATCATAATTTGACCAATTTTAAAAAGGAGTTACGATTTTATAAAAGTAATTAAGAAAAGAAAATTTGCACCGAAGTTTCCAAATGTTTTAAAAATATGCATCTCGATCTCAAATCTTTAATAAATATCATCGAAAGTAACAATTTTTCATTCAAAAATCTATCAATTGATCGAAATTATCAAAATGTAATGGAAATCGATCGATAATTATGTATGAAATTAGGGGACGTTGAGAAAGGGAAGATTTTGAAACAATATGGGACTATGATTCTTGAGCATAATTTGAGGAATGTGGGTCAAGTGGATAGTAGATTTGGGATTTGAAACGTATTTTCGGTTAAGTTCCACTTTATTTTATAGGGAAGAAAATGGTCCATACATTTTGAATAATGAAGAACTTCGACTTCCCTGCTAAGCAATTTCACCATCAATAGCTGTAGCCATCAATTTTACAGTCAATTTTATTGAATAGAAACAAGCAGAACAACTGCACATGCACCCGACAAATACTGAGTTAAACTTGAGGTTCCACAACACTGCCATTGCTGCATTGCATAACTTATCACACTACACAAAAATGGGACCACCAAATTCTAATTCTATAACATTAAATTAGCTCGAAAATAAGACGTCGTATAGCGTGCTTCTTTACTCTCCATGTTTCCATGTAGCGATATGGGGGCGGAGAAAGGAAGAAGAGTGATCGAGTTACTCTTGCTTATGGCGTATCAAGCCTCCAATAAGGCGAACATGCTGAAATTTAACACTCGGTATCAAAATCTGTCAAGTCCACTCGATGCATTTCTCGAGCTGATCTTGAACGAGCTCTTTCCTCCCCGGTCTGCAGCCGTACACAACAAAGCAGATTAGCTGTCATAAATTTCAGATATATAATGTCACTTTCTATGACAATTTTAATATAAGAAAAATAGGAAGGAAACGGACATTGTTTAAACAATTTTCACATATAAACTTTTAATGTCACTTTCTATGACAATTTTAATACAAAAAAAAGAAAAAAGGAGAGGAAGGAAGGAAACTGGTATTGGACCACATTTTACTTATAAAATACACAATGAAATCAGTAAGCAGTTCAGAAACATAGTGCAGAAATTAGGACCACCCTACAAACCCAATCTGCAGAAGCTAATCATTTGAAAATAAACTAATTAATTTCCTGAATAGAAGGCCCTGCATCCATACTTGGAAATATTTATCACATTGTCCCATAAACCAGAAGTTTGCATGAACTGATTGAGAACAAATTAATCAAAAAGTATCTACTTAAAAAGATAACTTTTGTACCATAAAACTAAAATTATACAATTAAAATTGCATATATGGTACATGTCTTAAAGCATATAAAATTCATACCTGTAGTTTCCACATATAACTTGTCACTCGAATGGCAATCTTGCATGTTCAATTTAAAAAAAAGGGAGAGCAAGAAATAGATGAGGTTTTATGATAATTTAGTAGAAAAAACAGTGAAAGATGTGCAGGAAAATGTACAGTAATAGATAATTGAACTATCATAATCATCAGATTATTACCAAAACTGTGAACTTTGTGTGGGGATACCTCCGATATTTGGAACTGGATATTAAACTTTCTAATACAATCTTTGGGACATTTAGCTCGAGCAGAAGTACCTGGATCTTACACAATCGAATAAACTATAATTCTGAAGTAAAATCAACACATAACTCAAGGTAAAACTCAGTGTCTTTGAGTAACAAGGAAAAGGTGGCAAAACTACACGTTGAAAGAGTAATTTATAAAAGAATCCAAGAAGCAACTCATAAAATGTAAATCATCAAGCATAAAATGAGAAGTGAGGAGCTCTCAACTGATTTTGATTTACAAAACTAATGAAGAACAAAAAACGAAACAAAATTTCGAGCTATTCCTTCATAAGAAACATTCACCCACCATTGGAGTTCATCTCTTACAGTATGACCATTATGTAAGGCTTTTGTATGGTCAACAGTAACATGAATGATTTTGAGCATGTCTAATCAATATACAGAGATATGATTTACAGCATGTTAGCCTTTTTCTCTGTAATAAACATAGAACTTTAGTCAGGTAGGAAATTAACAACTACTTGAACCAGAAGGTCACGAAGAGATACTAGAGATGAGATCTTAGGTTATTCACCGAGATCTAGCAACATTTTCTTAAGAACGTTTACTTGAGAACAAACATAGAGAAAACGGCCGACTGTAAGTCATCAAAATTCACCGTTCAACATTCATTAAGGGTATGTATGGTATAAAAGATTAGATGGTACAAACATAAAATGGACAAGATTTTAGCTTTTCTTTCTTTTAATATATTGTTCACTATTGTACAATCAATCTAGCCAAATGAGCCATAAGTGAAGAAAAAAGGCATCTTGCCAGAAGAGAATCGTCTTTTGGAAACATGACTTAGCCAAAATGAAAACAAAATGAAGGCAACAGCAAGAGGAGCTCCCTTCAGTCCAAGCACAGAGGAAGAGGGACATGAAACTATCTCCCGCATCATTCATTCAATCACAGTAGCATAAAACGTCAGTAATCTACTTAGCGACTAAACGAATGAGTCGGCAGCTAATTCAACCCCCAATATCGTCCATGAATGGGCTGATTGAAGCTCCTTTAAACCATTTCTCAGTGCAGAAACATTCCAAAATATTGATCGCGTTATCCAAATGATCAAGAAGACTTAAAAGAGTGCGATAGAGGAAAACAATTGAAATTTCAAGTTCCTTCAACTTAAAAGTTTATCAACTACGTATGAACAACCAAAATCAAGACAGTTTTATGCTAATAACCTGACAAATCAAGAAACCCCAATATTCACAAAACTACCTGGATTTTGATTATTTTCAGACAATAACTTTCAGTGGAATTTATCAACTAAACCAAACGAGTATATAAATTATTTGATAGGGAAAGCAGACCTTAGATTCCAGTGCATATATTTCATCAATAAAAGGAAATATATAAATGAAATTGAAATCTGATTTCAATTCTTAAAAGATTAAAATGATAAAAATCTTGAAAAAACCCTAAAATCAAGGGATGATGTTACTGAGAAGGAAAATTAAAACCCACAATACAGATATACATGGAAAAAATTAAATTATCAAGTGAACTTATTTTAAAGCAAATTAAAATATATAAACATGATAGGCAACTGAAAGAAATTACTTAAACTGCTCATACTCGTGATGGAGAAGCACAGAAAAGATGAAACCCTAAATCACCAATGGTGTTTATTAAAAATGGGTGTCATCGTAGTTCTTTAAACAAGCAATTGATAAAGAAAACACGGATAAGATAGCGAAGGCTCAAACAAAATTAATCTAATTATTTTAATAAAAATAGTAATGAGAGAGAAATTTGTAGGGTCAGGTATGAACTAAGCAAGACCAAGAAATAGTAATAACAGGTGGAAGATGAAGAGTCACTTTCTTCATGAGAATCAGAGATGGGAAAGCGACTTCAAGATCTCTTCAAAAGCTTACACACACAAAAGAAAGAGAGAGTTGTTCTTTTTACATATCTGCAGCTAAATGGTTTGAAAATGGCAAAAACAAGAAAATATTCACTATTCTGGTTCCAAGAGAGGGAGACCGTAAAATGAATGCACCGGCAGGTGATTGCGAGAGAAGGAAGGGTGGGGTGGGTTAAACGCATACCCCACCGATGCTGCACTTTTTGTGGGAAGAGCAGTGGCACCACTACTGTGGCAATTGTCGGAATTTCACTCTCTAAAAAGCTTGTTCATTTCCAGACAACTATTTAAATCAAACACGTGCATTAGTGGCCAAATCTTTGAAATTGCCGTTATTTTTTCTAGTGAAAATAGAGGGGAGGAAATACCCTTGTCCTCAATTATGGAAGCAAGTGAATTTGTAGCCTTAAATTGCACTTTTATTTATTTCTTTCTTTTTTTTTTTNTACAGATATACATGGAAAAAATTAATTAAAAAATTAAATTATCAAGTGAACTTATTTTAATGCAAATTAAAATATATAAACATGATAGGCAACTGAAAGAAATTACTTAACTGCTCATACTCGTGATGGAGAAGCACAGAAAAGATGAAACCCTAAATCACCAATGGTGTTTATTAAAAATGGGTGTCATTGTAGTTCTTTAAACAAGCAAATGATCAAGAAAACACGGATAAGATAGCGAAGGCTCAAACAAAATTAATCTAATTATTTTAATAAAAATAGTAATGAGAGACAAATTTGTAGGGTCAGGTATGAACTAAGCAAGACCAAGAAATAGTAATAACAGGTGGAAGATGAAGAGTCACTTTCTTCATGAGAATCAGAGATGGGAAAGCGACTTCAAGATCTCTTCAAAAGCTTGCACACACAAAAGAAAGAGAGAGTTGTTCTTTTTACATATCTGCAGCTAAATAGTTTGAAAATGGCAAAAACAAGAAAATATTCACTGTTCTGGTTCCAAGAGAGGGAGACCGTAAAATGAATGCACCGGCAGGTGATTGCGAGAGAAGGAAGGGTGGGGTGGGTTAAACGCATACCCCACTGATGCTGCACTTTTTTTGTGGGAAGAACAGTGGCACCACTACTGTGGCAATTGTCGGAATTTCACTCTCTAAAAGGCTAGTTCATTTTCAGACAACTATGTAAATCGAACACGTGCATTAGTGGCCAAATTTTTGAAATTGCCGTTACTTTTTCTAGTGAAAATAGAGGGGAGGAAATACCCTTGTCCTCAATTATGGAAGCAAGTGAATTTGTAGCCTTAAATTGCACTTTTATTTATTTCTTTCTTTTTTTTTTTTTGAAAAATAGCCTCCTCCTTGTTCAATTCATTTATCATCTTTCTCATCCTTATCTCATCATGGCGTCTCTATCCCCTTCCCTCCTTTTGCTGTTTACTTCCTCTCTGATACGGACACAAGAATGGACAAGGTTTGAGTACACAAGTATACAGATATGGCTACGTTTAGATCTGTGAATACAACCACTTGCTTAAGAAATTCGTTTGATATTTTATTATTGTTATTTAATTTGGCTTTTATTATTTTATGTCTACTTGTCTTAGTAAGAGTTTTGATTCTGTAAATAATTCTATTAAAATAGACAGATTTTTGAGAAATTATTTTCTTTTAAAAAGACTTTTGAGAGTTTATTTCCTTTTAAAAATCTAATTAGGGATTAGGGTTTCACTGTAAGAGTACTAGTTTTTTTTTTTTTTTTTTCTTTTGTAAGATCTCTCTCCAATTCTTGATCTTCAATTGCTAAAACTCAAGAGTTAGCCTACTGCGCAGGAACTACATTTGTTTAAAATAATTATGACAAAAAATTGAAAAAAATTTAAGAAAAATTAATTAAACTGACAATAAGTCGAGTTGACCTCATTGGAT